TGACTGGGAGCGCAAATGGTAGTTTGTGTATGTGTGCCCTGCGATTGGCTGGCAACCAGTTCAGGGTGTCCCATGCCTACTGCCATAGACATATGGGATAGGGTCAAACACGCTCCGCAACCCTTGTGAGGATAAGCGAATCAGAAAATGGATGGATGGATGGATGGATAGATCGTACTTGTAAATCTGCTCTGGACTTTGGATTTTGATTGTAATTAGAACCTTGAGAGACTTCAGCTCAGATTTAAGAAGACCCTACAACAGTGGAAATGTTGCTGTCTAATAATGTTTCAGTTCTTTGACCACTCTCTGATTGACTTTGTATCTTTTCTTGCTCACACACACACACACACACACACACACACACACACGCACACACACACACACACACGCACACGCACACGCACACACACACACACACACACGCTTACAGGAGGTCTGCAGTGAGCTATGGTGCATGAGCAAGAGCAACCGATGCATCACCAGTAGCATTCCTGCTGCAGAGGGAACCATCTGTCAGACCAACACCATTGAGAAAGGGGTAAAGAATATTTAATCATGAAAGGGTTATATATTATTTATTGTAAGAACTCATAAAACATCCACAATGTCACCATGTAGTCGGTTGGCTCCCTTTAACTTCCTTGATATGAAGTTTTTCAACCCATTTTATCATTCTGTTCCTCTGCCTTCAAATATGAGCCTTTTTGCACAATATGCATGTTACGTCTTCCCAGTGGTGCTACAAGAGGATCTGTGTGGCGTATGGGACACGTCCAGAGGGTGTGGATGGAGGTTGGGGCCAATGGTCTCCTTGGGAAGAGTGCAGCAGGACCTGTGGAGGTGGTGTCTCCTCCTCTATGCGATACTGCGACAGCCCGAGGTACACATCAGCGTTGTCATTCTGTGGCAATTGAGTCCTATGCTATATCCATATAATTTATAAAAATGACTACATCCGGCTACTTGTACTTTTCCCCATCTTACCGTTGTATGATTATCACAGCTTGTAATTGGGTGTAATTCAGCCAGATAATGGTCCGGGGCCAGAGATGTGGCCAAATGGTCTTTGATGATTGTGAGTTTGAAAATACTGTACTCTTATGAAAACAAGCAGCAGAGAGATGTGAAGCCACCACTGCGTTGAAGGTGAAAATGTTAAATTGCACTCAGATGTGTCTGACCGGCCAGCTTTTCTGTTCTTGATTGAAGGCCAACCATTGGTGGAAAGTACTGTTTGGGCGAGAGAAAGCGCTACAGGTCCTGTAATATTGATGTGAGTCCCGCTGCCGGCGTCATTCGTTTGGCCAACATGTAGCATCCAGAACTTGAACTTTGTTGATGTGTCTTACAGGACTGCCCCGTAGGCTCACGGGACTTTCGAGAGATGCAGTGTGCTAACTTTGATAGTGTTCCTTTCAGGGGGAAATTCTATACATGGAAGCCATACAGAGGAGGTGAGCGAGTGTGTTATATTTAGTCAAATGTGTGACAAAACTAAATACGTGAAGTGCTTCTATCAATTCTATTTTCACAATCGTGCGACCTTAGTGTGCAGGAATGGAAAAAAAGGATAGTACAATATTCCGCATGACAGGTGTCACTCCCAAGCTGCAGTTACGTCTGCAGGGCTTTTTAATTTTACATCTAAAAAAACTGAACCATTTTTCTTCCCTCTCATGTATCTGTGAAGCACTATGTTGCAAAGAGATAAATCTACTGACTGAATCGAAAAAATGATCTCGGCGGTACATTTAGATTTTGGGATGGCCAAAGAGCTACACATCAAGATGAAACATCTTTTTTTAATGACTCATTTGGCACATTTGGTGTCATTGTGTCATTTATTTGACATGAAAACTTCTTTTCAAAAGTAATTAACACCCCCTAAGCGGTATACATGTTGACTTGTGATTCAAGTTATGCTTAGGAGGACCGTGCATGTGCATTTGGGGGTGGAGGCAAGCATGTCTGCTTTTCAAAGCCAAATAGGAGAGTACCTGCAGATGCTGCAGCATACGGAGACCCCTGTAACCCAAAATGCCTTGCTTTTCTGCACTGGATGTGACAGTTAAATCGTTTCAACTCCAAAACTGCCTTTAATCTTGGCCTCCACTAGCATAATGACTCACAGGGATAAGTTGCAAGCCAATTGCAACTTCAGACAGCTGATCCTACAATGCAAATCTGTTGCAGCTGTTCAAATAGGATCAGTGTGTTCAGGTCAGATCGCACTGCACTGTCATTGTCAGGCCTGGCTCACTCCTCAGGATCACACTTCTCTCACTCGTTTGCTTCCTTGCTCCTCTTGCTGAACCACTCTCTTTGTCGTACCGCGCTTGGTTGACGATTATGCAATCACCAGCTCTCGGCACAGAAACAGCCGTCACCTCTCAGCCCAGACAGCCAAGGACAGCTCATTAAATAAGGCCGGCGCAGAGAAAGCTCTACTTAAGAACAATTATCCTTCACACTTAACCCCCTTACACCATGGGACAGCCTGCAAGTTGTAATGCACACACAGCTGCAAGCGGCGATTGCCCTGCCAAAGGCGAGGCACTATGGGAATTGCAGTTTTCCGCGGTCTGACCACTTTATCATTTTCGAAACCTGCCAATACATACTGTACCTCCTTCAACACTGCTAGCACAAACAAACCAAGCGTAGACGGATGTCAACGGCCCCACAGAGGAACTGCCACTGAGCAGCGTCAGTGAAAAAATGCACGACACAATTCAGCTGGAAAGCACTTTTTGAAATGTTGTTCTTTGAGTCATTGCATCAAAATACTTTAAAACTAAGTTGAGAGGGTGAAGAGTGAGGTTACTACCACGAATGGGATTTTTCTTAATACATACTACCGGCATGCATTGTCCGCCGTTTATACTCACTCGTGCAGATACTGAACACAAAATGGATTTGAGTCATCTGATGTCCGATAATTTTAATTATGCCTGTGTTGTTGCGATTTGGGGACGAGAGAATTAAACTTCTAAAGTCGAATGCTGCTTAAGGTGTAGAATTCAAAGATCAATAAAATTTTCTCTAGAAATATCGTGAAGTGCTGTCATTAAATCCACGTTTTATTCATTTTAGGCAACTGGTTAAGGTAAAGCCTTTTCCTTTCTCAGCAGCTTTTTGGAACAGTAACTCATGCCTTCGTTACATCTCGGCTGGATTACTGTAATGTGCTTTAATTTGGAGACAGCCACATCTCGATCCAGCGTCTTCAGTTGGTGAAAAAGGCTGCTGCTCGCCTCTTTACTGGTACTCGTAAGAGGGAGCACATAAACCATATTCTGGCGTCCCTTCACTGGCTGTCCATTTTAAGAGTGCATTTTAAGATCATACTATTTGTTTTCAAATCTTTAAATGGCCTCACCCCACCTTACCTCTCGAAGGTCCTCCGTCCCAACATACCTGTCTGTCAACTTGGGTCTGCGGACCATACACTTAGATGTACCGAGGATTAAGTGGAGGCTCAGAGGGGATCGAGCCTTTTCCGTTGCCGGCCCCTCTCTTTGGAATAACCTCCCGCTACACGGAAGGCAAGCCCCCCTCGCTTCCCATCTTTGAAACTCATCTTAAAGCTCATTTTTATGCTTTGGCTTTTGATTCAGCATGAGACTTGGATTTTGTTTGACTGTTTTTGGGCTTTTTACTGTCTTCCTTATTTATTTATCATTTTCACCATCTTTGTTGCTATATGCCATATTTTGGCTCCATCGACAGAAACTGTTGTTTTAAAATTCTCTATAAATACGGTCAAGTTGACTGGAGTTGGGAGCATTTTGCAATTCAGCTCATGTTATTTTTTTGTGATGCCATGTGAAAAAAATCATGTCTTATTATGGCCATAGAACAGGAAATGTAACCCTGTAGAACAAAAGAACATAATTCTGTTTTGGCACTATCCGTCCCACCCATTTTCTATAGCGATTGTTCTGGTTAGGGCTGTGGGTGATGTGATGGAATGTGGGGGCTTTGGGCGAGGCGCAGTTGTTAGTCAACCGCAGGACACATAAACACCCATTTACATTCACACTTGCAATATGAAGGTGCTGAAAATGTTAGAGTCTCCAACCCACCTAACTTGCATGGTTTTGGGTTGTGGGGGGAAGTCTTGGTACCCAGAGAAACCCACACAATCACAGGAAGAAAATGGCAACGCCCCCACAGAGAGGCAGCAATGGCATAGGCAGAACTGTGACATATCGGTAACGAGAATTTGAGCGGTCGTTTTACTTTGCTGTCGCTCGCAGATAGCTTTGAATGAATCACAAATGTTTCGATCTCTAGCTGTCAAAGTATTTGTGAATGAACAAATCAACCCTTTCATGCACCCTGTAACCCTGTAACATGATAAGCTGTCCACTGTACTAACCGCTGTCCCTGAAAGGGTTAATCATAGAAAATGAATGAATGACACTTATGCATAATTTGTGTGTGCGTCTGTGTGTGTGCGTCTGTGTGTGTGTAGGTGGGGTGAAAACATGCTCTCTGAATTGCCTGGCGGAAGGATACAACTTCTACACCGAACGAGCCCCAGCAGTGGTAGACGGCACACCATGCAGAGATGACTCTCTGGATGTGTGCGTCAATGGCGAGTGTAAGGTGAGCTACAGTTGACACTTGACAGCTGATATGAGCGGACAGAGGGCTTTTCGAGGGGCCACTCTTACGGTCTTGCATGTTGGAAAGCTGCCACAGCTGATGAACTGACTCAACAGCTGCTCCATTTAAAAATATAACCTTGGCAGGAAACTCAGCTTTCCTCTATGAATGGCCTACTGTTTTTTTGGCTTAATTAATAATGAAATTAAAGCTAAATATTTTGCTCATGTTTATTCAAGTGAAGACCAGACGTCTGGTGACTGTATGTCTCCTTTTAGCGCTGTTGTTATTCTCTTTTGGATGTACAGTACTGTGGCGTACTCTGTGCTAAACTGGCCTGACCAGCAGTCATTTTGTTGACCTAATAAAACATAAATAGTAGACAAGATAAAGGCGTTGGTGATGAAATTCCATTTCAAGAATTGCAAGTTAAGAGAGACGGATAATTTCTCCTGCTATTGCGCATTGCTTATAGAAATTGTTGTTTTTAGGCAATTGCATTTTTTGTGACTGGTGCCATACACACGTTCTATTACAGTAACATGACATACCGTTTACTCCAAACACTACATTGTGATTATTCTAAACACGAGGCTGGGGGAAAAAAAAATACTGGTTGTCTAACACTTGCGTGGAACTGCTTTTCTTCTCCTTTTATTTTATTTAAGGTATACAGGGATCCTTAGTTCACAACAGCCGACACAGTGTTTCAAGGTTATGAACCGCATACTTTGAACGAGTTAGCGCAGCAGCATAAGACGCAGGCAGACACAAGGAATTGCACTCAGTTATCGCCATAATTTTTGCATAATTGTGACTCGACTCCTTTTTTAGCTTCAGTCAGTGCGGATTTAACATACAAATTGGGGTAGGAACAGAACTCAGTTGGAAGCATATGAGGACCCCTGTATATTTGGATATGACATTTAACTATTGTTTTTTTTTAACTCACAGTGGTGAATGCGCAATTTCTCATTGTGCAACATTGTACCTTTACGATGACAAAAATAACTTTGCAAAAACTACTTTTGAAACTGTAACTTTGTACTGTAACCATGGATAAGCTACAAACGTTACCTTGTACTCCAGCAATTTATCTAATTAGACAAGTGTATCGATCAGAAAACGTTTAGCCTTCTATGATCGAGTGAAGCAGTGGCCGGCTTTCCTCTGCTTGTCCAGCAAACTGGGTAATTAAGTTCATTGTACAAAGGACACCTTAGCTAGAAGTGTCTCAACTGGTCAGAGGAATTGAACACGGAGCACATTCTTCCATACCCACTCACCCTTAGAGTTTCTAAGGTTGACTCAGGAAGGCTACAGGCCCTGCAATCATCCAACAAGAGGATTTTGTTTATGGGCATCCTTCTTGTTCGCTCAGCCTCCTCCTCCCCTCTTCTCCGTTTTCCCCTGTACTCTGTGACCTTGCAGTTCAGCCGTGAGTCAGTCCACATTGCACACTGGCTTTTCATTCACTTTCATTGTTATTATCACTCTCTATCTCTTTTCCCACCTCTCGCACACCACCACTCTGCCCTGTCGGGGACTAGAAAGAGACTTTTCTTTCCTTTTTTTTTTTCCGTATTGAGTTTTCTGGGGACAACACGAAGAAATATTTGTTTCTTTTGTCATGACATGCCGACTGTAGTTCCAAAGTTGGAGTCTGACAAGGCAGAAATAGAAGAAGGGGCAGGTCTAGGGAGGGAAATAACCCAGGAACAGATGGTCCAGTTAAACACAACATGCTGTTGTCGACGTAAAACATGTCGTGCCAGTTTCCAGGCCCAACTGAAAATGACATGAAGCTGATTTGTTACTGACTGAATTCGGTGTAAAATCCACAGAACAGAATCGATTAAGAAGTGTTTCCAAATAAAAATAAGTGACTGCCTGAGCATTTTCGTGTTTTTTTGTAACCAAAGATTTACAGTATTATTGAAGACTTCCATCAACAATCCTTCATTTACAATGCCAACAACAACACGGCTCAGAGTGGAGGTCCTCATCACTTTCTGATAGGACTGTGTGTGTGTTTTTTATTTATTTATTTTATTTTATTTTTTTTTGTGGGGTGAAGTTTGCAATGCTACGACGGCACTGCATCATACTAACAGCTGTCTGTAATAATTTGACTGATGACCTGATTTTGCCGTCAGAGGGTGGCAAGTTCACCTGTGAGCGAACCACCATTTTGTACGACTTTTATGGACATTCCAGATGATTGAAATGAATACACAGCACTAGCAAACACCGCATGAGATGACATTAAATGGTAAAATGAGAATTATGTAATGTCCTGAGTGATTTCTGGCAAGCCATGCCTGCATGTCTGCCAGTTATGACGTCCTGTCACAGTTTGAGTATTCACTTCCCTCACTTTAAAGCTACCAAATAACCCATGCTATGCAACTTCAAGATGATTCACCGTCTTTAAATCTAGATCTGGTTTTAAACTGGGGTCTAATCAATTGAAATTAATGATAAACAAATCTGGATTGATGATAAGCAAATGTCACTTGGACTAATATGGAAAAGAGTAGTTGATACTATCGAGAAGTTTGAGGAAGACCACCTGTTTTGCTCATCATGAGGAATATTGGTGTCGACACCCTTGACTTGATCTTAGTATATGCCCAGGATCAGAAAACACATCTGGATGTGTCATCTGATTTCTTTGCGTTGTGGAAAAAGTGTCTGGAAGACATTAGAGGTAATCCCTCGGTCTGGTCTCTGACACCTCTCCACTCACCTACTGCGGCCCTTCACCCATGGCCCAGAGTGACCCCCGGGCTCATTTTCTCGTCTCTTCTCGCAGCACGTTGGCTGCGATCGCATTCTCAGCTCAGAGGTTCGTGAGGACCGCTGTCGGCTCTGCGGGGGTGATGGCAGCAGCTGCGAGTCTGTAGAGGGAGTCTTCAATGACTCTCTGGCTGAAGGAGGTGAAAGACTTTTCTCTTGTCTTCTCTTTGCACAAACCACGACATCCAACACATACAGTTGAAAATGTTTTAACTACTTTGTATAAAAACAGGAAACCAACTTTCATTGGAAAATATGTCAATTAAATGACAGGCAAGATCAAAAATCGGATCAGTGAAGTCACGATCATCCATCCATTCATCCATCCCCGCAGACTTTGGGTACACCGTGGATTTGTTTCCAGTCAAAGACATGGCACATAGAGACAAACAACCATTCACACTCACATTGACATCTGTGGGTAATTTTAAATCTTGAAGTAACTTAGCACACATGATTTTGGGATGTGGAAAGAAATAGGGCTGCCCGAAAATGCAAAGGGAAGAACATGCAACCTCCTCAAGCATAAGACTGTGCCAAGATTGAGGCCCAGAAAATTTTGACTGTGAGGCAGACAAGCCAACCACCATTCTCTTGCTAGCCAATTTCAGTAAAGAATACCAGGGCACATTTTCCTCATTTCAAATACCTCGTGTCAAAGGTTCCGTTTCTGTATTTGAATCAGGTGACCACAGAATTTTTAAAAAATGCACTGCAGTGTCAAGATTTCCCACATCATTTTAAACCTTGAAGTAAACTGCTATTTATCAACCTGGTAAAGAAAGTCAAACACAGGATTATTTTTCTTAATTGCTGACAGCTGTAATGGTTGTTTGAGTGGAAAATGTATCGGTGTAACACTCAAATTCAGTACGAAGTATTTTGACATAAAGGAATCCTGTAAACACAGGAAAGAACACGGGCTCAGTACGAATCCCTTGAGGTACACCACCGATTGGAAATATCTCTCAAGACTCAAATCACCGCTGATTTGTATTCAAACTTTGTGTGATGTGTGTGGGGTTGACCCAATGTAAGGTTAACGTCCACCTTCAAAGTGTTCAAACAATCTTTTAATTCATAGTGCATTTTTATGACAGTGCGGTTCTTTTTTCCACACCTTAAACCCACCTCAGTAAGCCAGTCTACGGATATCTGACTCATATCTGCAAGTAACACCTGCAGCAATTAGTCAAACTAATGACCAGTAAAATCCCCCCCGATCATGTCAATAGCACGTTTGATTGTCTCCCTAAAGTCCTTTTCTCGTCTCGGTTTCTTTGTGTGAAAGAGAACAATGACCACAACTGTTAATGAGCCAAATATTATAAAATAGGAAAAAAAAAGGAGCACCATGTCTCCATAGATTCATCCATCTCAGTGATGAGTTTTATTGCATAATGTGCCGTAAAAGCCTTGAAATATTCTCTGGAAGTATCTTTACATCCAACGAAGCCATGGCTGTGGTAGGTGGTGTCGAGTTGTTCAAGATTTACAACTTCTTCCCTCCAAGTCCACCACATAGACCAACTAATTCCATCCACTTCTGCTGTCATTGTGTCTCTCAGCCAAAATCTTCAGGCCACGTCCTTCTAATCTTCCACACCTTCATCTAGACACTTACAACATCGCGTTTCTCACCTCTCAGAGCTCCATAAAGAGATTTCCTGCCAAGCCTCGCCTTCCCTCTTGTGTTTGAAGCACTGGAAGGAATTATTCTATGTCTCCATTTTCATTCCTTCATCCTCAAGTAAGACTGAAGTTAATTTGCACGGCTGCAGTGGCCAGCTTGCTGGCAGAGTACAGATGAAGGCGACGCCAGTAAAAAAAAAAAAAAATGAAAGGGACAGGAAAACAGATTGAGGGAATTGAGTGAAGAGGCAGTTTATTGGCCTTTCGTGTCCAAAGGGCGGCTGAGGCAGGCTGCCCGGGAATGTCACAGGAACCTGAATTTTCTGCTCCGTCCATCGGCTTCCCACAGAGTTAAACACTACTCATGCATCACATCTCCTGTTGCCCAGACAAGAGTGATCCTCGTTGCTTTTGTTTTGACCAGGTTTGACAGGATGTGTGTGAGCGTGTGTAGGTGCATGAACGTCTGGAACTCTGTCTCTTGGCTTTCTCTTGGCAAGGATGTCACAGCATGAGTCAAAGGTGTACAGTCAAGATTGTGCAGAAGATCAAATGTGTGGAATCTCTTTCTCATCTTATCAGGGTCATAATACTGAATGATGTTACAGGCGGTGAGCCCCACTGGTAGGATTTATTTGTAATCTGACCTGTGTTTATCTCTCAGGTTATGAAGAGGTCATCCGAATCCCAAAAGGCTCGGTGTTCATCCACATACAAGAGCTCAACTTTTCTCAAAATTACATTGGTAAGATGCTACTGCACTTCCGTTTCAGTCATTGCGATGCAAATAGTTTAAAAGAATGTTTTGTAAAGTAAATACAGGATTTGTTTGTCTGTGCAAAAGTATTGGGACGCTGCCCATGACACCCAACAGGTGGCGAACGAAAAAAAAAAAA